CAGTTTTATCCAAGGGACCACGAAGGGCGTCTGGCAATAAACGACTGCGGTATTGCGGTATTTTGTTTCCCTTGCATTCGATAGCTATTTGATGACGCTTTATATCTTGTCCCGCTTCTGAGCCATCCTGAAATTGTGGAAACTATCAGAAAAAGAGAAAATACTCGAACTTAACTTTGAAGTGACCGCTGAGGGATAGATGTTTTGATGGATGCTGATCTTGTTAAAAAGAAAATCCAAAGAAAGAATAATGGTTGAACCAACCTGGACTAGAAAACTCGCTACTTATGCCGGATTGTCGAATAATAGAAGTACAGCTCAGGCTAGCGGTCTCGAAGGAATCACTGAGAAACCATGTCATTATTGACAACCTTCCTCCTTCCTATTGATTCTAGATCATGCGATTTCGATCGGAGCTCGGTACTGCCGATCATAAGATCTTGTGAAGTTGTTTAAGAAAAACGACTGTGTGACGAAAGAATGGAATGTACCTACTGGTAGACAAACTTTCTTGAATGCGCCATGCCTTGCTTTCGTTTCCTAAAATCAAACAATATTACTCGAATTGTTGGCAGAGAGATGCTTATGCTGTGATTCGAGAGAGACAGACTTCCAGATTTCAATCTATTACCCACCTTGGTACATATGTTCCATAAAGTCTAGCCCATGCTGAAATACCAAAAGCCATAGGGCAGAACTCACACGGAAAAAGGTTGGCTGGAGCTAAACGTCGTGCCAGTGTTCCTCATTGAATATTGTCATGCAGAATTATTTCATAACACTCAATATTATGCGATTCGTATTTAAGTGCGCCATGCACTCAACTCTACTCAGGATTATAGTAGAATTCGAATGCGCAGCTATACGATTAAAAAAAANAAAAAAAACCAGGCTACCCTCAGATGTGCTATGTGGTTTTTATCGGAAAAAGTCCAGCATCAATTCGTAATTTTGGAGTGTTTAGCAAAGATGGTGGAATTCAATTGCAGTCTCGAGAATTCGGGATTTGGTAGGCTATTGTCTACTGTCCCATACCAAAACGAAGCCCAAGATATTCGTGGAACTTGGAGTCGTGATTATCAGTGGCAGTGACATTAAATTTCCGGTCGGGCATTGTTTTCTGAAAAAGGTATGACGTCACAGGAAAGAAAAAACCTATTCGGAAATTTGTGCATCGACCGTTGCTGGGTGCCCCTCCGTATTCGATTATCTTCCCTATCTATCACATCCAGCAGATGAGTTTATGAAGAATGGGAACTCATAACACCACAGCCAAGATCGCATCAACTTACGTTTCGACTTTATCGCCTTCTTCAGAGATTGGAAACTTAAGGATTATTGCTATCCATCCCTCATTCAATAATTAAGAACTCGAAGAACGATTCCCTAAACCCAGGCGATCTTGTAGTCGGTCGCCGCTAATCTGACTAAAGTTTCCAAACCCTGAAGAAGGGATAAAGCCGAAACGTAAGTTGATAAGAGCTTGTTTATCATCTTAATAGGAGGCTTTATCAAAATTCTTACAAGACGTCACCAATTGTTCATGAAACCTCTAAATTTAGCTCTTGTCTTGTAGCCCGCCCAGTGACAACTTTAAGAAGAAGGTTGAAAGTTATACTCAACAATTGCAACAAGCAAATCAGCACCGATACCATCTTGCTGAGATCAGCCGAAGAGCAAACATGGAATTTAAGTATAGAGCTTCATTTTTTTCAAATATGAAGATGACCGAGTCACAAAGTTACAGGGTTTGAAGTAACCGGGTTAGTTACACATTCGTACAATATAAACACTGGACATACCGGAAGTTTCTAGACAGATCTATTGAAAGTTACATAAATATGTATATTGCCAACCTCTCAGGCAGATCTATACAATTTCTGAGGCGAGAGAATATTAAGGATGCATGCATAATATCTTATAGATGCAAAGTTATATCTGAGCTCCGGGCTTAGGTGCACTTGAAGAAATCGTCAGTGGACTCGACATGAAGCACTTGCTTTGATGGCATATCGTAGTCGGAAACCTGGAAGATAGATTATATCCACCGAAATGACTTATAGTTTTTTATGACTTTCATTTTGCCATTGTCCTGATAAGAATTCCCTTATCGATATCGCGCCGACAGCCGAGTGTTTCCGAAGATCTCTCCTTAGTTCGCCTAATAATCTCATTCTTTCTTCCGTAATATTTTCAACCCGATATTTCTCACTCACCGTTTTCTCCTCAAACATCCAGTAGGCTTCATCGCTTCGTGGATCCTTCGGAACACCAGAACGCAGATCGTCAGGAAGATTAGGGAAATATATGGTCTTGTCGTTAAGAATGGAAGGTCTGTTGTTCAATACACTGTATGTGGCAAATACATTTCCCTGGAATCGGCACCGTTTTGATCATTATCATGGGTTGCGGACAATATACACGGGGGATGAGAGGGTGGGGCGGGGAGGAATAACAAGTAAGACAACGTCTATTCCCCAGTCCCCATAAAGCCATAAAGTAGAAAATGGCTTGGTAACGGACTAACTGGAAAGAAAATCTTACCGATAGCAGAATGACGCTTCCGTTCGTCAACGGGAATGCAGCTTGTGGATAGAATAGTACAAGATCGTGCAATTCTTTTGGATAACCATCAGCCTCACTGAAAATATATAGCATCGATTGAAAAGTCAAGCACTATCGGGTCCCGTCGTAAAAACTGCTTTCCTGGGTTCTGAAATAAATTTTGGGAACCAGGGCAAATTCATTGGATGCCATCACAAAAAGTGCCTATTAATTACTGCACTAAACGCCGGATTAATGAACCAAATGGTCAATAGAGCGTTGAATCCAGATATGCTCTTACAGGCATGGCCATTTTAATTCGTGGAGTAAAGTAATCGAAAATGCGATAGAAGTGGTCTGAGACGGGTGTTGATGAACACCATGCACTTTCGTACCTTTCTTCAACGATGATTCAATTGAATGGCACCGCTGCATGCTTTCATAAGAAATCAGCTTCCACTACGTTTAGGGCTTTTACTAGTCCCAGTTTACCCTTGTATTGTGAAATTCAAAGCGAGGCGAGTGAGCTACGGCTGAATAAGAAGCTCGTAGAACGAATAAACGCAGCTCCATCACTGCGCTGGACCACTCACTGTACTCAAAGTTGTCCTATCTTTACCATTCGATAAAAACGCCTACTTACATAAAGCTGACACCATCAAACGTGTAGCCGTAGATGGCTCTTTCAGCGAACAGCAGCACAAGCTTTTCGGACGTTGTGGTGGCGTTGACGAATCCAGGTCCTTTGGGGAATACCTGGCAAAAAACAAAGATCATTTACGAGCGCTTTTACACTGCCCCGCATAATTAGCAGTTCCACCGTAAAAAATCGCAAAAACTCAAAAACTCGCATATAAAAATAATCCCGACAAAATCAACATTCACATTTAAAAAACTCAACACTTCAATAAAAAATTGCATGATCTCTTTACCTCATCATTTGAGAAAAATGTCTTTGGTCAATGTAACAAAATATCACATTTTGTTGTTATAAGCAAATTTCTCTCTACGAAATTGTTTCAAAGGTATCATGAATTACATATACATATACATACGATCTACAATCTAGACAGTGTAGATCAATCATTTCAAATTACACCTCAATTCATTTAATTTGTTTGATTTTCGAAACATGATCCGAATTTTTTTTCTTTCAAATTTTCTATAAATGTAATGGAACTGCTCATGAAGGTGGACTAAAGCATTCACCCTATACAAGCCGAACTAATTTCAGTAACAGAACAATCCTTTTACGTTATACTTATTATGCAATAATCACGACCGGACAAACAATTGTCGATTTCTTCAGACCATAACGATTGTGTTTCACATGCAATGACTTATTTGCTGATTGACTTGCATTTATTTATGGTTGCTGACTTGCACTATTTATGCATTTTCAATAATAACATGGGTAATTGGTTCTGTTCCAATTCATGAATGTTTACTAGATTTTCAAACTCACAGATTGGATTTGTCTGCCGTTGTCAATGAATTTCCTGTCCCGCACACGGTAGACCTTGTCCCCATTGAAGACCACCCATTCCGATGGTGTTACTTGAAATTTAGTTTGAAAAATGTTGAGAAAACTAAGTTAGTAGACGTCCTCAGTAAAAAAATCCACAACTGACTCACGATAAGTAATCGAATCGATCTGTTTCGGGCATTTACTCAGACTGACGAAGCTAGTTTTGACCTTATCTTTGTCGACAGGTGCACGGCCTAAAACATGCTTTTTTTTGAAAACGGAGGAGGTAGAGCAATGGAATATTATGGGTTGTGGCTCATGGACCGAATCCTCCCTGTATCTCATCGACCGATAGGCCTTTCATATATCCAGCCAGTCACTTTGTTAAATTCAATTCTAAGAGCATTCATAAGGTTATATTACAAAACGCCTCAAGTAACATCGCAGTCGCCTTAAAAAACCAGGAAAGACTTGAAATGGTGCTATCGGAATGAAATTTCAGTCCAATTCAAGCAGCAGGCACCATACCTGGGTCCGTATGTTCCACATCAATGTCAGCAGCCATAACAAATGGTATGAATATGAGAGGTAGGAGCATAATTGAAATGGATCGGCAGATGTACACTAAATAGAGAGTGGACCTTCTCAGCGAACCCTAGGGAACGATTATGAAGTGTATGTCTCTGAGTGCCTTCCGCCCCGTCCGAGTGAGTGGGTGTCATGTTCAGGCCAATTCAGTCCTCCGTAACTGCAACCAATTTCAAGATGTTAGTCTGTGACCCTTGAAAGACGAATATCATTCTTAACACCAACGCTCCATCAATTGAGTACCTGGAATCATAGGTCACAGGGAAAATTTCCCTCTCAATGACTGGTATCGCATTCTCTGATTGGCGTTAATACTGTAATACATAATATAACAATTTCCGTTTCGCGCCGTCATAATAAGTCTATACTGGACTGTAAGTAAATGATGGAGTGTTGTTATCCACTTGTTATCACTTATTATCACCTCCTAATGCTCGCTATCTCCCCTTGTCACTCGCTATCGATGATCTTGAGCCATCATCTTTTCTACCACTTCCGAACTACTTACTGTGAATGCTCTCCAAGAGAAATTAGAAGTTACAACGACTTCATAACCATTTTTCGGACATAGACAAAAGATTCCTCCTAAATCGAAAGTGCTTCATTAAGCCGAGCACTTCTTCAGATCACTAGAGTGTTTTTGGATTGCTTAATGGGCTCAGACAACGATCTATCAAACTCTATCAAAACTTCATGGAAATACTTTATGATAAAAAAGTGAAAAAAATGCCAACTTGCGATTCCCGAGCAATCTAAAGTTTTGATGCAGGTACTGTATGTGTTAGGTTGACCGGAAAGTTTCCCGCCACGTGTTTGATTGCCATATCAGCCTTGCATGTATGTTTATGACTTATTGTGGGGTGTGCATGAAGCACGCAAGGGACTCTTTCACATCACTTCCTCACACTTACCCAGCTTGCATTTGGATTCCAAAATGCCGACCAAGTTTCAATCCAACAGGATGCACCTGATGCACTGTCTTCTTTTCCTCCATCAGTCTGGCTCAAACGCAAAGGAAGCCCAAGCCAAGATAGTGGATACATATGGCACTGACACTATCTCTTACGACGCGTGCAAGACCTGGATGGCCAAGTTCAAGAAAGGAGATTTTTCTCTCCAAGATGCTCCAAGGTGCGGCCGGCCGATGGAGTTNGACTTGAAGTTACTACAATCCACCGTGGAAGAGGATCCGTACGCCACTACCAGGGAACTTGCAGCGATGCTCGGCCATGCCCAACAACTGTTGAATGTGGACTGGAGAAGAATGGTGAAGTCGCAAAGCTTGGCCGTTGGATTCCTCACCAAAATTCAATGGCGGGAAACTTTCCGGTCAGCCTAATACTTATAATAAGCGGGCTGTCCCAGTGAAAAAAAAAACAAAAAAGCGCTCCAGGAACGTGGAAATGTTAAATTTCTACGGGCGATAGCTGCTATACATACCACAGCCTTTCTTCTTATGTTAAAAAATATCTTCATGGTATCGAGCGGTGCAGAACGCTCCACCTCAGCCGGGAATTGGAGGAGCGTTTTTTTTTCCGTAGCTCAACAACCTGATGCTCAGGTTCGTGCCGGGAATGTGTTATGGAAACCGAAAAAATAACAAGAACCGAAAACAATTACGATTACCGTAGAGTTTGTCCAGCGCCACCCTATCGACATTGGGAACACCGTCCAATGTGCCATATGGGACCATCGCAGGCTTCATAATCGGATACATTATCGACCTGACAAAGAACATTCAATTAACACATGTAATATAATAATTTACCAACTTATGTATACTCACCCTCTGTAGAAATTGTGCGGCAATCCGAGGGTATGGCCAATTTCATGAAGCAGAGTATGGTAAAGTGAGATGCCTCTCTGAAAATCCGAGGATTTTCCAAGAGATACTTAGTTCTATCTTATAAAGCGCTTCGTCGCGGAACTACTAGCTTGATAGCATTGCAAAATAGCCAGAATAAGTCCATTCCAGATTAAAAAAGCCGAGGCTCCTCTAAATTATCAATATCCCTGCAAATACCAAATAACTGTTCTACAACCGCGCCTACTATAGTAAAGCGACTGCACTGACTTTGAACGAAATGAACTCACCGGCTCATGTTTGCGGTAGCCCCACAGATGATCTTTATCGAGAACGATCCGGCTATCAATTGGTTTTGTGGCACCAGCAACAGCTAAAACTGCTCTGAGGCTTCGTTCGACCGTTGGCAACTCATCTATAGTACCGTGCAAAACTTTATGGAATTTTGCTTTTGCAAAAATTCCTTTTAAACCCTTGTAAATCGATCTCAAGCTTTTATTGCATGCTTCTACAACAGAACAGATCAAGGAAAGCGAAAAAAGAAGTATTTCTAAAGATGCCAGTAGTAATTTATAACTCATAAAAAATTTTTTCACATGTTTCTCAACAACTATTATATTTTTGCGAATTCAGCGGAAACTTATCTCTGCTTTTTGAAATCTTACTAGGTCAGTACTAGGCACCATAGCCTTTAGATTCGTCTACAGCCTAACAACACGGTGACATAAATTCAGGAGGCGCCAGGAGTGAGCTAAGAAGGAGGCTCTTCCAGGCTTCGACAAGCTGCTCCTACTTTTAGATATTACATGAATGTAAAAATATACCTATGTATGGACCATTTATGCAAGCATGAGATCAATTTACCAAGTTTTGGAAGAAATATGTTGAAGCAAAAATCCATGAAATTGTACACGGTACTTTATTTTGTAAAATGAATGGAAATCCTCTGGATAGGCTATTCATTAGGGCTTCTACCCAGACTATGTCTAATTTGATCCTAAACGATTTTTACTTCACAATCGTGGTACATAAAACTATGGCTCGTTCAGTGGACTGCCCATTTCGAGTTGACTCTTTTCAAATCGATGAAAAATTTTCGAAAAACTTTATTTGTATAACTCCACACGAGGTCTACAATACCTTAATGGCTTACGTTTCGGTGAAACCACCTTCGTCGGAGCCTAAAAGGATGGAATCAANTTGATTCCATCCTTTTAGGCTCCGACGAAGGTGGTTTCACCGAAACGTAAGCCATTAAGGTATTGTAAACCTCGTGTGGAGTTATACAAATAAAGTTTTTCGAAAATATGCCGAGGTTCATCGAGAGCCGCACGTGGCGATGAAAAATTGTTGACCAAATCGCTACTGCTGAATCTGTCGAATACGAAGAAGTCCTCAATAGTCTTGTAATCCTCATAACTGTATCTAACACCTTAGAATTGAGAAAACCACTTACCATTATCAAATGCTTCCTCCACGTCAGTGAACTTAATGACGATATCGGCTTGCGATGCGTTTTTCGTCTCAATAAAGTTTATTCCACTCACTTGACGCCACTTTTCGAATGCTTCATCACAGGCCTCTCTGAAAACCCAGTGAATTCAATTTGAACACCCGAAACCCACGAATATTGTGCTCCTTATACTACAATCAACGTCAAAGGAAGTTCATTTCAGTTTCAACGCATACACGATCACATAGAAGGAATTACTGAAGGCAAAATCGCCCGCGATACCTTATTTGGCTAAGGTTCAGCGATGAAGGGTTCGTCGAGACATTCCACAACAGCGTCTTCTTTGTCCACAGATATTTCTTTGGAAGATCTGTAATCAGGAAGACAAGTTAGTGTGGTTCACTAACAACGGAAACCTAAACTGATGTCCAGACAATGTCCGCAGTCAGAGGTATTGCCCAGAAAGGGCAATAAATGGATTCATCGGAGAACTTTCTGGTGAAGCGCTTATTCTAGCCATTACCCTTGCTCGTGGCACGACATGCTACTGAGCCACATAAATCTCTTAGCTGAACTGAAGGGTTTCGAAGCGGAGTGAGAGATGGCACGGGATAAGAGAGCGCAGACGACATGACAAAATGCTGAGTCAGTTCTGTTGTCACATCAGTTCCAAAGCCAACCGCTCCCAAGCGAGCTTTCCTCCCGCCTCCGCCACTGTACCCACGCTACATGTTCATCACTATCTCTGATTCTCCATGTCGCATGTTCTGCCTACACCTAGGACCAACCAAAATGTAGTGCCCACTGCCATAGACCCTTTTAGCACTAAGACTGAATTTACTTGTAAGTTCCGCTCCATTGTACATATCCCTATTGGCACATCTGTATTCAGACATTTTCGAATGAGTTGGCACATCGACGACACCTGATGGATATAGCAGGAAGGATTCCTGGAACCGCCTGAAAGATGTGATGCTCGTTTTACTAAACATGCATCTTCAAAGATTACTTGTTTTCTCAGTACGAATTTCACTGACTGTACTGATGATGCTTATAAATTTTTTTAAACAACTGTAACTGGGCAAACTGGCCTCGAAACCTTCTACGATACTTCTCAACCACCACATAACTCACTTAAGTGCTGCTTGTAGATCATATTTGGAGGGTTCGCTTTGCTTGTCACTTCTGTCCGTTGGTGCCTTTGGTTTTGACATGTAGCCAAATGTGACCAAATATTCCTAAAAAGTACATTTCGCTGCATAGATTTTCAACAGAGACTGAGAATGCAATTTTGTTGGCAACGTATTGTAAACTTGGCATTACAATTTACGATGGTGATACTTTTAAACCTTGCGAGGTTGTCGAGTAGGACTCAAAGACTTTTATATTGTTTATAATAGCATGTTGAGTGAATTCAATACCTGGCAATGATTCATAGAATGAATCCCATTACTGACTGATGAAACAATATCCAGGGAATACAGTAACGCCAAGGTAGAGTCATTGTAAACCTTCCCCATTAGGCATACCCCAAGAATCAGATCACCTGTCTGAGCGGTGGAACGTTTTGAGAAAACGGTTCTACCATACACAATCTACAACAATTCGCCAACATATATAAGGATTCCTAGAAGTTCTGTTCGAGATAATCAGAGCCTTCAATGGCTTTACAACAATAGATTGATTCACTGATTGATGACTAGGCTCCTAAGAACGGGAAGTTTACTATAAGTGGCCTATGCCCATGAAGTTCCGAAAACTACACGCAATAATGAGCTAGAGGAGCCAAATGGCAAAGCTGCTCCTTAACCATCGTACGAAGTGAACAGCAAGGTCAATAAATTAAAAATCAGATTCTGTGCGATATCTGGGTTCCATCGGTTCGGATTTGTCCATTCCAGGAAGATCTATGCAAATACTTTCTAGACTTATGCAACACTGCGAGTTAACTCCATAATCAGCGAACGTGCTGATCCGCAATAGTAATATTATTGCATAAGAACAGCGAAGAAAGATCATTCGCTACTAATGTAATACTAACCGTGCAGCGTAGTGCTACACTTCGCGGTGGAAGTGAGGTGAGCTTATCTTTTTAATTTTGGGCATTTTTCGTGCACTCCTGATAGAAGGTCAGAAATGCTACAGCGGAGGAGGCGCTTGGTGGGGTAGTGTGCAATCAAAAGCTTTGAGCCATTTTCAGGCCTTTGAAGACGACGAGTCCGTCGAAACGTCGGCCAGAATAAAGATTCCCACCTAACAACCACGTGGCAGAAACAAAATTATCACTTTCTAGACAGCTACTTGCACCAATTAATTGGTGCAAGTTGGTAATCATTTTGATATTTGAAATCTAGTATCTCGTCATCGCCGTCGGTACCTTAGCATCTTTTTCCACAGCTTCCTTGATCTTCGGATCGTCCAATGAGCCGCTTGTCCCAGGAGGTCCGCAACAACTCAGTTTAAAAGCACCTACCAGCAAAAGGACGCAAAGCAACCGCATTGCAGCTGAAATTGAAATTTTGAAAAATCTAGCCAGTCATTCGAATATACTTGCGACGGAGCGATTCATACATTATTTGGTACGCTGGACAAGTCACTATAATGGTACAAGCATACTGCAACACATACAAAAAAGAGAATAAGAGCAATGAAGTCTAAATAGGCAGTTTAGTGATCACTGGAATGTCGAGAGCACCCCTTTTGCTTAATTTAGTTTGCCGTGGTTCGGTGGAAAAAAGGTGGGCGGTACTTCTCCCCAAATCCCTACGACAAGCGGCAGTGATTCCACGGCGACTGCAGTATACTTCTGCTGGGAATTGAAAGCTCTCCCTTCATAGTACGCGACTGCGTGTTATCGAGTGTGGCGAGCGCGACGCGATTTTCGGGCAGAAGTACTCACATCTGTAAGGAGAACTTTTTCAGAAACGGTAAGATCAAGAGGATACTGAGGAATGCAAGAAAGGAGTGTGTTGAATCCACATTGTTCCTCAGAGTAAGGGCCTAGCACATCAAGTATAGTCGTTAGCATAAAAATACTTGAATGTGTGCGCGTGTGTTCTTGTACGGCAAACACAAAGGTTCTGGATGACGCAGAATTGGTGGCAACCAAGTCAGAATTTTAATTATTCCGCTCTGCCAAAAAATAGCGATACTGTATGAGGAACACTGTAGTATGAAAGATGTTGTCGATCTAAGAATCGGTGGACGATTGATTAATACCTTATAGGATCTATACAGATTTACCTAGGAGAACAATTGGTGACGTTATTGGTCTGGATCTCGCCGATGATGACTGCTAGTCAACTATATTAAAGGCACAGTTCACGATAATTTTGGGTAATCCAGATTATGATGGAAAATGGAAGACAAGATCGAAACTGGTGCAACTGAGGTGAAGAAACTGCGTGCATCGGTGTTCCCAATGTGAAAAAAAAAGCTTCGAAAAACCGTCAAAAGGGGGCTGGACGAGAATGAAACCAGAAAAATGAAGAAGTGTGAGGCGTCCGGACGAGCTAAATGGTGTGTTTCACTGCGCGAGTGTGGGTCCTGGTACGAATAATAGTCAATGGTAAGCAAAAATTCATTCACTTATCAGCATAAATAAACAAAAAACCCTAGTAACAGCAAAAGTGGTTTACCTTTTTCAGCCTCTAGGAGTAAGAAATTAAATAAGGAATCACGGCAGCAAAAAGAAAAACAGAGGGAAAAAGAATGGGAGAAAAACATCGCCTCATCACTCGGCGACTAGCTAATTGTGCGTGGGTCCTGGAACGAATAATAGCAATCTGTATTGTCTCGATACTCGTCTAACGTGACATCGATCGAGGGGCGGGAAAGCGAACTACGGCTGCAACGGGGCTTCCACTAGGCCCTAAGCGCCGAGATTGTGGGAGCGAGAGGGACCCTTCTACCACCCATGGGGGCGCTGAGTATTCCTTAAGGAAGAACTCAGTAACCTTTTTTTACCGTGAACCGTGCCTTTAACATCTCTTCCGGAATACGTCATAGATACGATACAAGCCAGGAATCAGAGAAGCATTTGAACATGTACTCTGTATAAACAGAGTGCAGGAGTCGGAAATTTCAAAATCTAACACAAAGCCCTGGTTAACTACATCACACCGGAGGAGTAAACAGTAAGAAGAACAAGCGATAACGCTTGAATGTCAGGCTGCAGGAGTCCCTTACTACGTCAGAAGACCTTGTATACTATTGGTACTACTACCGCAAAAAATAAAAAAAAATAAAAAAAAAATTGTTAGAAAATTTTAATACAATATATACAATATACAATACAAAATAATAAAANAAAAGTTTGAAAATAAGGCGATATCATTTGGTCATGTGCCAAAAGTAATGTGGTGAACTGGTTGCCCATGGAGCCTATCACAATATCAAAACCGCGAAAATGATTGATTACATACATCGCTGTAATATGGCAGGATTCTCAGTGTTATGTTACGAAATGAGCCAGAAACTACTCATTCAGCGAAGGAAACTGAAGGAAAAACTTATGCGAGTTTTTAAAAGGAAGAAGAGTGAAATATGTACTGTGTGGGCAAATCAATTACACACATTTGTATTCCAAACAATCGTAGAAACGGAATTCACGGAAACGTCTGGATTCCATGCAAAGACGTTGGTCAAGGTAACCTACTAGAACAAACAAGAGCAATTAAATTCTTGTGAATAATAAATGCCGACAAGTTTTCAAGTGGGGCTTGCCTCATTGTTATCAATGAAACCTACACTCGCTCTCTATTTCGAGCTAAAACACTATCTCCCTCCATTACTAGTTGAAACTGAAGTGAAATCGAACACTCTGTAAATGCCGAACTATTTGGTGTTCTGTTTGAGTTGGTCCACGAATTGAACTCGCTTCATGCTATCGCACAGCACGATGAGGCCTATGATGCGACCAACCTCAATTACTCATTTTCGGTGCTTGGTTCAATATAGTCAAAATTTTGGTAAACGGCATCAGAATTAGAAAAATGGGAGCAGAGCCGGATGTGCTTCGAATTCTGCCCTGGTCCCTTTATGTTTTCAAATGTTACCCACACCACTCCTTCTACTCACTCCCAGAGTTTGAGTACTTCAGTTACGTGAAACTAATCGAGGAAAGTCGAGGAGACTTCTCCACTTAGGCACACGTAGCTGGAGCGAATTGTCGACAAGTCTGCCGTCACATGTCCTGAGAAACAGCTCTTCTTCAGTCTCGCATCGATGTAACGGACAATGTTTTTTATTCTCGGCCAATCCTGTGAAATCGACTTGGTTTTCATTACTTCGATGCAGGTATTCGATGAAGACATCGTGCAGAAAATAAAAACCTCTTCAGAACATTGCTTGGTTTGAGTATTCTAACACGTCGTGCTATTTCGACAGTATTCTTCCAAACGATCTTACCCTTCGCGCTCGTAGTGGGAGCTCTTTCATGTCCAGAGGTATGGCGTTCATCCTCAAAAATGTCTTAGGCATATGCATGCACAAGTGTCAGACGCTGACGCCAGAGCTCAGCATACTGAACGAATCAGCCGCGCTGTTCTACACTTCACAAAAACTCTTTCCACCAAAGGTAGCCTGGGGCACTCCTCACATACCTCTTAGTCGCTCCTTTGCATGTTTTTTGCTCAGTCGATATGGGGATAGAGTCAAAAACATGGAAGTGCTCCAGATATGCCTGAATAGTCAGGCCTCGAGGAGGAAGAAAGTAGGAATAGATTTGAACAACAGAAACGAAAACTCTAGTTTATGCATCCACCTGTGCCTCGAGGCAGGACCACAGTGAGTTTTGGCTCACGCTCAACCCCCTATCCTTCGCATGGAATCCTGCCCCGCCGGCCCCAAGAACCATTTCACTTCACGAAGAATAACGACGGAGCAGCGCGTGACAGAGTTAGAGAAGTGCAAAAACACCCTCTGGACGGCAACTGGGTGCTGGTGACTGTGCCTATGTAACAAGGATGAAATGGTGAACGAAGCACATTGAAAATTTTTTTCGGCATGCTTCAGAGCTAAATAACCAGAGGGTGGGTACAATTCCCAAGTAATGGTATTGGAATTCTACTGACAACCAAGGTGAATGAACAGGGTAATCAGTTGATGGGCGACCACCAAACTCTTACAATTCGGGGAAAAATTTATTCGATATAATAAAAATACAACGAAACTGGTGGAACACTGTGCAACTAATGAGAACACTTCGATTCACATGTATGAGAACCTTCTTCACAAA